AGGAGGCGAAATTCGTTTGGCGCGGGGTGCGCTGGGGTGTGGGCTCCCCGGCCCTATAACAAAAATATAATAGGAATATGTATGATACCGGAGAAAAGTCCCAATCAAAGTCATTTTAGGGCTACAGGGCTATGGGGCTCTTGGGCTGTAGGACGATGGGGCTATAGGGCTATGGAACTATACGGCTATAGGGCGATAGGGCTATAGGTCTATAGGGATACAGGGATATAGGGCTATAGGGCCATAAGGCTGTAGGGCTACAAAGCTATGGGGGTCTGGGGCTCTGGGGCTATGGGGCTATAGGGCAATAGTGCTATGAGTCTATAGGGCTATGGGGCTATAGGGCTATAGGACCATAGGGCTATAGGGATATAGGGATATAGGGCTATGGGGCTATGGGGCTATAGGCATATTGAGATATAGGGCTATAGGGCTATAAGGCTATAGGGCGATGGGGCTATGGGGCTATAGGTCTATAGGGCTATAGGGCTATAAGGCTATAGGGCTATCGGGCTATATGGCTATAGAGCCACACAGCTCTACGGCGATAGGGCTAGAGGGCTATAAGGCTATAGGGCTATGAGGCAGTCGTCGGCCGTCGTCGATGCCCGTTTGCAACGTTTGGGGGGTCTCCTGGGGGCTTCTTGGACGCCTCTGGGGGCCTCATGGGAGCCTCTTGGGAGCCCCTTGGGGGTCCTCTTGGGGCGGGGGGCTCCTAATTCCAATTGGATTCCCCCATATTGGGACCCACTCGGGGCGCTTTGGGAACCTATTTTGGCCATCTTGGGTGGCTCTGGGACCGGGCCCTCTTGGGCCGTCTTGGCGCCGCCTGGGGGGCCTGCTGGGCCGTATTGGGGCGATCTTGGGGGCCCCTGACGTCGGTAAGAACGGTGCGAAGACCCCGAAAACGAATATGGTAAAAGTGCTGGCTTCCGAGGGGAATGGGGCCATTGTTGCTTGGAAGCCTCTTGGGGGCTGCTTGGAAGCCTCCCGGGGGCTTCAGGGGGGTCCTCTTGGGGCGGGGGGCTCGCAATTCCAATTGGATTTCGGAGGCCGGTCGGGCCATCTCCGCTGCCTCTGGGACTGTCTTGAGACCCTCTTGGGCCGTCTTGGCGCCCTCTGGGGGTCTCTTGGGCCGTGTTGGGGCAATCGTGGGGGCCCCCGAGGCTGTCAAGGACGGTGCGAAGACGAAAGACACGAATGCGATTTAAATCTATATGTTTTACGAAGGGAATGGGGCCATGTTTGCCTCTCGGAGCCTCTGGGGGGTCAAATTGCACGAATTATGGGGCGTCTTGGAAGCCTCTTGTTGGCTGCTTACGGGCCTCTTGGGAGTCTCGGAGGTCATCTTGGGGCGTGGGGCTCGCAACTCCAATTGGATTGCCCCATCTTGGGCTCCTCTTGGAGCCCTCTGGGAGGCCGTTGGGGCCGTCTTGGGTGCCTCTGGGACCGGCCTGGGACTCTCTTGGGCCGTCTCAGCGCCGTATGGGGGGGCCTTTTGGGCCGTGCAGGGGCGATCTTAGGGGCCCCATAAGGTCGTCAAAGATGGTGCGAAGACGAAAAACACGAACACGGTAAAAATGTACACTTTACCAAGGGAGTTGAACTATTTTTGCCTCTCGGGGCCCTCGTGGGGGCAAATTGCATGGGTTATGAAGCGTCTTCGAAGCCTCTGGGGCCGTTGGAGACGTCCCGTGATCCGTCGAAACTGTCGTCAGGGTGGTTGGCGGCTGGCTGGGGCCGCCGCGACGCTCATCGGACCGCCCTCCGAGGCGATTTGGGGCCCCCCGAGGTCCGGCCGGGCCTCTGCACACCCACATTTGTGGTATAGAGGTCGCGGCCCCGGGGGCCCGGGCCCTGGTGCGCCGTGAATAAACCCAAACAGTGTGTATACATACATACATATATATATATAGAGAGAGAGAGAGAGAGAGAGAGAGAGCAGAGAGAGAATCACCGATCGTGCAGTATGCAGTCCGCCCCCTCTCGCGTTGGAGATCTGGGTCCAGCGGGACATAAAAAGGGGCCACAGCTGGAGGAACCACCCACCCATACCCGTCCCCCTTGGTACAGCCATCCTTCCTGCTCCTCCTCCTCCTCCTCCTCCTCCTCCTCCTCGTCCTGCTCCTCCTCCCTCCCTCGGTCCCTCTCTTCCTCTGCATCTCCTTCTCCTTCTCCTTCTCCTTCTCCTTCTCCTTCTCCCTCCCTTCCCTCCCTCCCCCCCCCTTCTGCTATGCGAGAATAGCGAGACGCTCCGTCTGATGTTCGACGACGACCCTCTCCCCTCCCTCCCTCCCTCACTCACTCTCTGGCCCTCATCCCTCGCCCCTTCTCCTTCTCCTCCTTCTCGTCCTGCTCGTCCCTCCCTCTTCCTCTCTCTGCCGCGCGAGCGGAAGCGTGCAACCATATCCTCCTAGTCCAAGGACAGGCTAGGCAATGCACACTCTCATCTGGCAACGGGGGGAGATAACATGAATGATATGACAGTATGGTTCCTTCGGTACACTATGTTGCTGAAATGCTTTGCGTCACATGTATGTACTGTCGACGTCAGGCTTGACTGAGACTGTCACCGACAGGGGATGAGCCGCCGACGCACCAACGGGCGCTCAAACAGCTATACTCTAGCCTGTATAACTCTCTGCAACTCTCCATGTAGAAGACCTCTCTCGCAAGGGGGCATCATTGCCGTCTGCAAGCGAATACAGCCTGGGCCCCGCAAAACAGCCTCTTTTCAACGTTCCCTTCTTCTGGAAGTCAAATCATGTGTACAAGATGTTCTCGCCCGCTCTCGCAGCATGGAGCTGCATATCATGGAGCTGCATGTGCTTCGAGCGCCATGCCTGGCACATCGCGGTAAGGATTGGACTCTAAAGAGAGGCTCCAGACTCGCCTACTGAAACAAAACACGCGTTTCGCATGAGAGGTGTCCACTATCTGATTGCGAGCGGGCCCGCACAGCACCCCTAGTCGACACCCCCAGGGTGACCCAGATGTCATGCCAGAGCGTAGATGACTGTGAAGAACTGTGAGTGCGAGCGGGTCTGACTATGAGAGAGTATGAGCGTGACTGACCATGAGCATGAGTGAGGCTCAGAGTGAGTGGTTCTTAGACTGAGTAAGTCCCAGTGTGAGTGAGTCTGAGTGTGAGTGAGTTTGGGTACGAGTGGGTGCGAGTACGAATGGTTCTGTGTCAGTCAGTCAGTCTGAATGCGGGTGGGCCTGAGTATGACTGAGTCTGACTGAACGATGTAACTCTGAATGTGAGTGACTCCCAATGTGGGTGAATATGAGTATGAGTGTTGCTGAATGTGCAAGAGTATGTTCGAGCGTGTCCGATTATAACTTAGGATGAGTGTACGGAAGCTTCAATAGGATTGAATCAGAGTTTGGATGAATCTGGGTATGAGCAAGTCTGCGTATGAGTGAGTTTCAGAATGAGTGGATCTAAGGGTGAGTGAGTCTGTGTCCCAGTGTATCTGTAGATCGCTGTGGCTGAGTATGAGTTGGTCTGAGTGCGAGTGAGTCTGAACATGTGTGCGTCTCAACATGTGAGAGGGCAGCGGGACGTGAGGGAGGCGGGGCGTCATACTAACGACAAGAAGCCCGTACTCAGGATGGTAACGGGGAAAACTCCTCCACTCTCTCTCTCTCTTCCTTCCAGGTGGATGGAAAGGCGTTTCGCAGAAAGCAAGTACGTGAGGTGAAAAAGCGATGGGGTCGATGTGCAACAACGGACACATCAACACATATTACAGGCGAGCACGAAATGCAAACATGCCTGGAAGGACTTGCCCCGTCCCCTTCCCCTCCCACGGCCACCGAACATCGAATGGCTACGAAGAGGCCTGACCCGGGAATGGGGTCGAGACCCCCGGGGGGGCAAGTGTCGTGGAAGGAGACACGGTGTCGGAGGTGTCGCCTCCTGCGGGTCCAACGGACGCTGGGGCAGCGGGCAGCGGACACCCCCGTAGCGGGCTCCCACTTGCATGCAGGAGCCGGGAAGACAGCAAAGGGAGGCGGAACCAGAGCCGGCAGGGTCGGAGCCGGAGCTGGAGACACGCGCTCTTCAACGGAGGACTGGGCCGCTCTCTCGCTCCGAGGGAGGAAGATCTTCCTCGCCCCACTCGAGTGGGGCGAGGAAGAGGAGGACGACGACAGAGAGACGGAGGGAATCCTTCCCATCCTCCGCCTCCGCCGCCGCCGCCGCCGCCTCCGCCTCCGCCTGCGCCTCCGCCTCCTCCTCCTCCTCCTCCTCCTCCTCCTCCTCCTCCTTCCCTCTTGGCACACCCGAAGCGGGTACGAACAAAGATGGGGAATCACGGTGCCCAGCAGCTCCAAAACCGACAGCGGCCATGTCGTCTCAGACTGTACAGCGACCGCGGCGACACCGACAGCGACTCCTCTTCAGAACAAACACGAACTGCTGTCGGTCGTCCCTGGGCATCGTTTGAACGACCCCTATCCCCATGGGCGTGGCCTGGGCCCCACTGGCCGATTCACCCCCCTAGGATGGGGACATTGGCTTTGGCTGTTCCCTTCGAGCTTCGCGGGGTATACCCCGAACTAGGCCGGTGAGACATGTTGGGGGTCTGGATTGGCGAAACCAAAAGGCACCGATACCGCTACTCCCCAGACCTCTCCCGGTTCGAGTCGAATCCAGCGGTGGCGACGAGGGCTTCCAGGAGGCCCCAAGAGGGGAAAACGGGGGAAGCGTAGCGGTATGGGTACCTTTCCCTCCTCTTATGGATGGGGACGGGGATGGGGACAGGGTTAAGTCGGGCCTGTCCTCCTACAGGGGGGTTTTGGACGAAGAGTAAAAATAACCAAACAATGCCCCAACATGGCCAAACAAAACCACACAAATCGTCCCCTGACTATCTTTTGACCATTTTCAAAACTCCCCCTGTAGAGGGACAGGCCTGACTTAATCAAGGATAGGAGTCGGCGAAACGATCCCGAGTGCCCCTCTGGCCGTGCCCGCCTCGAGCGCGCCGATCCTCCGCGGCAGCAGGCCGGGGCGCGGCCGGGAGCCCGGCCTCGCCGTCGGGGAGGCCGCAGCGCCACACGCCCGAGCGCTTCGCTTTGTACATCTGCAGGGCCATGGCTCGGCACGGCCCGGGGCGGCCGGGGCCTGCGCCCGGCGGCGACCCGATGGCGCGAGCTCCCCCCGAGATCTGAGCCTTGGCGGTTTTTGTTTTGTCGCATGGGGGGCGTTTGGTCTGCTTCGCGGCCGTGCTGCGCTGCTCTACCTGCTCTGCTTCACAGTCGGGCGCTTCGATGCTGTTCTGTTTTCCGAAGGGGGGCCAGCTGCGCGCTGCTCTGCCTGGCTCGGCGACGGGAGCGGTGCCCGAGCCCAGTGCCAAGGGCTGGCGCATCACTTCTGTGCGTATGGCCTCGGGCCCAGGGACCATCACATCGATCCACCTCGAAAAATGCGGCAGGAAAATGGGGTCCAAGGCTCCAGTCGTGATCGGTCCCGCGCCGTGACGGCGTCCGCTCTGGTTCGCATCACCGAGCTGACCGTTTAATAGTGGACGATCTCTGCCGTCGGGCATTGTTGGGGGGCCACTTCTCCTTTTCCTGATCCCCCTGCTTCTCCTCCTCCTCCTCCTCCTCCTCCTCCTCCTCCTCCTCCGCCTCCTGCTCCTCCTCCTCCTCCTCCTCCTCCTCCTCCTCCTCCTCCACCTCCTCCTCCTCCTCCTCCTCCTCCTCCTCCTCCTCCTCCTCCTCCTCCTCCTCCTCCTCCTCCTCCTCCCCCTCCCCCTCCCCCTCCCCCTCCCCCTCCCCCTCCCCTCCCCCTCCCCCTCCCCTCCCCCCCCCCCCTCCCCTCCTCCTCCTCCTCCCCCTCCCCCTCCCCCTCCCCCCTCCTCCCCTCCCTCCTCCTCCTCCTCCTCCTCCTCCTCCTCCCCTCCTCCTCCTCCTCCTCCTCCTCCTCCTCCTCCTCCTCCTCATCCTCCTCCTCCTCCTCCTCCTCCTCCTCCTCCCCCTGCTCCTGCTCCTGCTCTGCTCCTGCTCTCCTGCTCCTGCTCCTGCTCCTGCTCCTCCTCCTCCTCCTCCTCCTCCTCCTCCTCCTCCTCCTCATCATCATCATCATCATCATCATCATCATCATCATCATCATCATCATCATCATCATCATCATCATCATCATCATCATCATCATCATCATCATCATCATCATCATCATCATCATCATCATCATCATCATCATCATCATCATCACATCATCACATCATCATCTCATCATCATCATCCTCTTCCTCCTCCGTCCCTCCCTCCCTCCCTCCCTCTCTCCCTCCCTCCCTCCCCCTCCCTTCTTTCCTTTCCTTTCCTTTCCTTTCCTTTCCTTTCCTTTCCTTTCCTTCCTTCCTTCCTTCCTTCCTTCCTTCCTTCCTTCCTTCCTTCCTTCCTTCCTTCCTTCCTTCCTTCCTTCCTTCCTTCCTTCCTTCGAGCGCTTCGGACGATCCCACGCCCGCGGGCTGGGCGCCCCCCCCGCCGGGCCACCCTGTCAGGGGCCTACAATCTCGCCTGCAGTTTATGCTACACCGCCTGCGTGATGGCCTCTGTGGGCTGCCCGGCTCGCGCGCGGCCTGGCGCCCGGACGCCCCGGGGAGGGCGGTCACCCACGACGGCCCTTGGGGAGACGCCGTCGGGGCAACCTTGGCTGCCGTGGCTGGCGGCCCGCCGAGGCGACGCCGCCGGCACCGGCCTCGTGTTGTTCTCTGCGGCGCTGGCATGGAAAATAGCCTGTCCCGCTGGAGCGCACAGCCCTGCCGGGCGGGCGGGGGGGGGAGTCCGCGGCGGCCGAGGTGGCGGAGGCGCCCCCAGGCCACGTCGCACTCGCCTGCGCCCAGGCCCCCCTGCGCGGTCACGACTGCCGGGGTCGGCCCCGCTGCTCGGGTGGGCCAATGTCCTCCACGACGGCGCCCAGCTCCCGCGCCTCTCGCGCAGCCTCCGCCGCCGCCGCCGGGTCCGCCCCTCCAAGAAGCCAGCCGGCCAGCGCGGTCGGCGACGTTGGCGCCCCTCTGGCAGCTGCCGCTCTGCGCTAGGCCGCCGCGCCCAGGCAGTGCATGACGAGGTGCGCGGTCGACTCCAGGCTGGCGCCGCACAGGCAGCACACTGGGATCTGGCCCACGCTGTCCGCCCTGAGCGCCCCCTGGATGGCCAGCTGGGCCCACATGCGGACGTCAGCGGGAGGGCAGCCTGCGGCAAGGAGGTCAGGGAGCCCCCACCGCCAATGGGTGGTGCGCTCCAGGCTGGCCCGCTGGTCTTGCCACCATCTCTGCTCGCTGGCGGTGATCGTTCGTCGGACATGGGCCCGCTGGAGGAGGGCCCACCGCTTCCACCTGGCCGTGCGCGGGGCTGGTGCTGCTGCGCGCGGCCGCCGAATCCCCAACTCCTGGGTCGTCGTCTCCATGGCAGCGGTCCACGTCCCAGGGGCCTGCGCCGCCACCTCCTCCTCTTCCTCCTCCTCCTCCTCCTCCTCCTCAGCCGCCGTCTCCTGCTCCAGCCTCATCCTTCGCGGCCCAGCAGGCAGCCCACGCAGAGCAGCTTCCGCCCTCAGGGCACCCTTCATGTCATGCCAGCGCGGCTGGCCATCCATATCTCTTCGCTGGCGATCTTCTGGATGACATTCATGCGGTGGGGCATGTACAATCCGCTCAGCATGGTCGCGCCGTTAAGAAGCATGGAGATTTCGAGACAGTTCAGCGCGGTCGACGTCGTCATGTTACCAGCCACTCGTTGGAGGCAGAACGACCCCACCAGCCCCGTCGACCAGCTCCAGACCTACAAGCACCGCATCTTCACGTGGGGCTACGGCAGAGGCCCTTTCACCAACAATCACGCGGGCGTGGCCATTATGATCAGCAACCGCTACCGCCTCAAGTGCGTGACTGAGCTCCCCAGCTCGCCGCCGTGCATCCAAGGACGTGCAGGAGCAGTTCGCCTTCGCCGAGGAGAACTCGACATGACCTTCATTGTTGCGTACCTACCTCCACGGTCAGGGCTCGCCAAGCGCCAGAACGCCTGGGTCAAGACGGTCAACGAGACGCTCAAGTGGATCAACAAGACCCTGAACGAGACGCCCACCAGGAGCACGCCGATCATTGGCCTTGACCTGAACGACCACTACGGCCAAGACGGATTGCTCCCTGCCGCGCCCAGCAACGTGATCGGCGACGCAGGCCCTACAGGAGTACCTGGCGAGGCAGCCGCTGCCTTCCACAACATGCTCGACGTGCACGGCATGTGCATCCTAAACGCCTTCTGGAACGCGGGGCCCACGTACTTCGGAGCTCAAGGACAGGCCACACGTCCCGACTACATCGCAGTGCCTCAAGGACTATGCCCCCACATCGCTTCTTGCAGAGTCTGGTGGCGAGCGGCCAAGGCACTACAACTCATCAATGACAATGTGCCGCGCGACCACGTCCCACTGATCGCTGCCGCCAGCGTCATCATCCCGAACGTGTTCACAGATCTCAAGAGGACCGCATGGGACTACGTCAAGATGGCCCTGGCCCTGCAGACGGGCAAGTACCGCAAGGAGTTCAATGGCGCGCTGGAGTTCCATTTCGGCAAGCACCAGGAAAAGCTGAAGGAGCTGGCAGGGGACAACACAGCGGACGAACACTGGGAGCTCATCGTGAACATCATGAAGGAGGCAGCCAAGCCCTTCTTCGAGCGCCAGAAGTCCAAGCCCGACCAGTACTACCAGCTCATGGAGGAACGATTGCGGCTACTTCAGGAGCGCGCCAAGCTCAGAGAAGAGTACATCGGGACCGACCCCAACTACGAGATTGAGTACCAGATCGAGGTCCTCTCGCGCACCCTCAAGAAGCAGAAGCGCCAGCACGAAGCCGAAAGGAGACAACACTTGGAGGAGCGCATCAACAAGGCTTGGCAACGACGACAACACGCTGAAGTACACCAGCTGTCTCGACTCCTGGCTGGCACCAACTATGGCAAGCGCAACCGCAACTACAGCCGCGCGACCAGATCTCGCCCCAGCTTGCAGGAGTGGGCAGGTCACATTGCACAAGACGGCCAGCACGGAGGGTTCAGAGCTCATCAGATCGACCTCGAGGAGGAGAAGCGCATCTTGAAGGAGACCACCCACGAGTTCACCACCGAGCACAACCTGCAAGTTTGCCAGGAATACGAGGACGCCAAGGACGGCATCAAGCGAGCACTCTACGGCGTCACCAAGCGGCTCAAGTACTTCAAGAAGCGCGCCCCCGTGCCAGACTGGTCACTGCCCGCCGAGATCTTCCAGATGACCCTACAGCCCGCCAACATCACCAAGCAGAAGTCGAAGACGACAGGCGTGGGATGCGATGGCGAGCTCGCTGAGGCTCCCCTCGCGCAGGAGAGCTTCGAGTCAGTCCTCAACCACGCGTACCGCGTCGGCTTCGCCCCCCTCAGCGCCCACCGCAGTCAGAGCTTCGCCCTCGACAAGAAGAAAGGCAAGCCCAAGGTCCACGGCTTGCGCATACTCCACATGCTGTGCTCCTTCTGGCGCTGCTTCTACAGGCAGCTTCAGTGCAAGTCCAAGCCGTGGTCACCTCCTCCCCATGCTCACGGCTGCTGGCCTCATAGGCGTCGCGAAGTCCCCATGGCAGCCTCCCGCATCGTCGCCTACTGCCTGCAGAGGGTCAAAGCAGACTTCATCGTCGGCAGCAAGGACGCCACCAACGCCGTCCCCAGCACCAAGATCGACAAGGCCATCAACACCATCCCGACCGCCCTCAGCGTAACAGATCAGCGTCTCTTTCACCAACGCTACCAGTGCGCCAGCGTCCAGATCGACGGGTTCGACTCCACAGGCGACTTCTACCTCGGCTCAGGGGTCATGCCAGGGTGCAGCACAGGACCGACTTCCTTCAACTTCGTCTATGAGCAACCAGTTGGACAATGGCTCGAGGAGGCCCCGCAGGACCCCGCCCCCTTCGCGGCAGTGTCACCCATCACGCACGCCCTGCTCGACCTTTCCGTC